ATTTCAATGTTTTTCGAGAGGTACAAACGAAGTACTTTATGGTACCAAAAACTATTTTGATTGTACCTCTCTGGAAATGAGGTAAAAACACTTATTTATTCCGCGATCGGCGCTCGATTTCCGAAAAAAGAAAATTCAATGTTTTTCGAGAGGTACAAACGAAGTACTTTATGGTACCAAAAACTATTTTGATTGTACCTCTTCGGAAATTAGGAAAAAACACTTATTTATGCCGCGATCGGCGCTCGATTTCTGAAAAAATAAATTTCAATGTTTTTCGAGAGGTACAAACGAAGTACTTTATGGTACCAAGAACTATTTTGATTGTACCTCTTCGGAACAACACTTATTTATGCCGCGATCGGCGCTCGATTTCTGAAAAAATAAATTTCAATGTTTTTCGAGAGGTACAAACGAAGTACTTTATGGTACCAAAAACTATTTTGATTGTACCTCTCTGGAAATGAGGTAAAAACACTTATTTATTCCGCGATCGGCGCTCGATTTCCGAAAAAAGAAAATTCAATGTTTTTCGAGAGGTACAAACGAAGTACTTTATGGTACCAAAAACTATTTTGATTGTACCTCTTCGGAAATTAGGAAAAAACACTTATTTATGCCGCGATCGGCGCTCGATTTCTGAAAAAAATAAATTTCAATGTTTTTCGAGAGGTACAAACGAAGTACTTTATGGTACCAAAAACTAATTTGATTGTACCTCTTCGGAAATGAGAAAAAAACACTTATTTATGCCGCGATCGGCGCTCGATTTCTGAAAAAATAAATTTAAATGTTTTTCGAGAGGTACAAACGAAGTACTTTATGGTACTACCAAAAACTATTTTTTTTGTAGAAAAGCATCCCTCATCAAAACATGCTTCACCTTTTTTAGAATTTGGCGTTGACATTCTCGAGATGCTAAATGGACAGCTCGATCTGTACAAGATCTGTACCATATATTCCTAATATTATAAAGACTTCAAATTTCCAGGATGGTTTTAATCATTGTGATTTAGAATCTCACACCAAAGTGGTACAATCAAAATAGTTTTTGGTACCATAAAGTACTTCGTTTGTACCTCTCGAAAAACATTGATTTTATTTTTTCGGAAATTGAGCGACGATCGCGGAATAAATAAGTGTTTTTACCTCATTTCCAGAGAGGTACAATCAAAATAGTTTTTGGTACCATAAAGTACTTCGTTTGTACCTCTCGAAAAACATTGAAATTTATTTTTTCAGAAATCGAGCGCCGATCGCGGAATAAATAAGTGTTTTTACCTCATTTCCAGAGAGGTACAATCAAAAAAGTTTCTGGTACCATAAAGTACTTCGTTTGTACCTCTCGAAAAACATTTAAATTTATTTTTTCAGAAATCAAGCGCCGATCGCGGCATAAATAAGTGTTTTTTCTCATTTCCGAAGAGGTACAATCAAAATAGTTTTTGATACCATAAAGTACTTCGTTTGTACCTCTCGAAAAACATTTAAATTTATTTTTTCAGAAATCGAGCGCTGATCGCGGCATAAATAAGTGTTTTTTCCTCATTTCCGAAAAGGTACAATCAAAATAGTTTTTGGTACCATAAAGTACTTCGTTTGTACCTCTCGAAAAACATTGAATTTTCTTTTTTCGGAAATCGAGCGCCGATCGCTGAATAAATGTGTTTTTACCTCATTTCCAGAGAGGTACAATCAAAATAGTTTTTGGTACCATAAAGTACTTCGTTTGTACCTCTCGAAAAACATTTAAATTTTTTTTTTCAGAAATCGAGCGCCGATCGCGGCATAAATAAGTGTTTTTTTCTCATTTCCGAAGAGGTACAATCAAAATAGTTTTTGGTACCATAAAGTAGGTACTTCGTTTGTACCTCTCGAAAAACATTGAATTTTCTTTTTTCGGAAATCGAGCGCCGATCGCGGAATAAATAAGTGTTTTTACCTCATTTCCAAAGAGGTACAAACAAAATCATTTTCGGTACAATCAATTACTTTGTTTGTACCTCCAGAAAATCATATTTTTATTAGTATCCGTCAAAGTCGGGCGCCAGGTTCACACACCTAAGAGTTTGTGCCAATTCCAATGATTCCCACTGTACAGGACGGAGGGTTTGACCCGACACACCATTGGGTGTATAAACGTTCGTCTACCGTGTAAATTTAAACATTTTTGGTGTTTATTTAATGAGAGTGATGTAAAAAATTACACATTGTCATGTAAAGTAACACGGAACTAGGATATAACTTTGATTCAAGACTGTATTGTGTATAATCTCAGTTTAACAAATTACTCTTGGTTAAGTGGACGACACTTTACGAATAATGGCGTATAGTTTTTACACACAACGCGTTTACCACTTTGTCGTGTAATTATACACGTTTTTTTTTTTACTGTGTACTCAACGATCAGCATTGTCAACTTTTATTTTGCTACAAAAGTAAAGGCCGGTTTCGCACGTATACGGTTCCATTCGTTTCGATTCGTTTTTGGATGTTTTTCGGTTGCTACCGAGAAGGTGTAAAACAGTGCTTCGATCTCTGTTCGGTACCAAATAGAAACTGTACAACAACGAATACTCCCTCGACACGAATAGGTACCAACAGATTTCTATAAGGGCTTAAAGCCGGTTTCACAAGTTTACGATTCTATTCGATTCGATTCGTTTTCGGTTGTTATTCGGTCACTACCGAGATGTGAAACAGTGCTTCGGTCTCTGTTCGGTACCAAATAGAAATCGTACAACACCGATTACCTCGACACAAACAGGTTTAAACAGGTTGTTATAAGGGCTAAACTCGTGCCTGGGGAACAGAAGCCAATTGAAATGTTCACACACGCACGGTTTGTTCCGGTTTTAACCAAAATCTGAATGGGTTGAATACATTTCCTCATAAATGTATTTTGGCGTTGGAGATGCTTCTTTAACTTCACGTGTAATTCATCAAATGATTTAGTTGACATCCTAAAGTATTTAAAAAAAATTTGTCTTCGTTTTCTCTTAGCGTCTGGAAAATGGTATAGAATGCTCCAAATTCTTGCCGAAACGTGATTAGAGGGTGCAGACTGCAGCCAATGAATTCTTCTATTTACCCTTCGTTATTTATTTCTCCTATACACAAAAAACATGGCAATAACTTGCCTTCTCTCCATGATTACTACACCACACAAATTTACCACACTGCACTGGCCTGAATAGACACAGAAAAAAACAAAACATAATTAAAACCTTGTGAGAGCCGTGTATGTGTGACGAGGTTTAATTCGTTTTCGGTTTCTATCAAAAACGAATCGAACCGAATGGAACTGCATTCGTATGAAACCAGCTGCTATCTATATCATAATAAACAAAGTTAGGTTGTTTGTTAAAAAAACTCACCTTAAATAGGACTCCTGCCCAGAAAAAAAAAATTGTTTTAACCTTGAGGCTACTTGGGCATCTTGCCTAAAGCAGACAATTCGATATTTTCTCTTGTCAAAATTAATTTCAAAAATTTCATTCGAGATTTCACATGTGCTTCCATGGCGATCTCGGAAGGAAAATAGAGCGTGAAGAGAACCACTCGGTTTCAACATGACTTCTTGTCAAAAAAAAATTGACAACCCTTAAATGATTCACCTTCTACACAACCTGGCATCTGAGTTGAGCCATTGAAATATGAAAATAAGTAGGAAAAACATTCAAATTCGGTATCCTAATATTTGAAAATTAGGTAATTATTTATCAAAAACAAATAAAAGAGATTAGAAATGATGCCAATATTTTTAATCAAAAGCACAACTTTTGTTGTCGCTGAAATTTATTTTCTTCAAAACACAACCGACAATACCGCAAACGCAGGACAATTTTCAATGCAAGGTCGAATAACAAGGCTAATGCGCATGTGTAAATCAAAATTGGAGAGAAAACGCCTAAACGCAAGAAAATTAGAGTAAGGAGTGTGGAAATTTGTAGCTAATGAACAAATGAACTAAAGCAAACAATAAGGTGCAGTAGGATAAAAATTGGTCGAGATTTATTAAAGGTAAGTGATAATTGAATGTTATTTGAAGATGTAAACATTGACTAAATTTCTTGTTTTTGTTTTAGCTATAAAATTGTAAGAAACCAAAGAATGTAACTGATTATTTAAATGCATGATGCTTGAAGATAGGAGATTATAGTTTTAATGGAAAATCAAGGAAAAACGGTTTGGAAATATCCAGGAAATGTGAATGAAAACTAGTTTGTCCTGAAATTTCAGGGCCTGCAGATACCATTGCTAATGGATATTAAGGAATATTTTGAGGTGATTAGGGGAGGTTTCTTTTCAGACAATTAACCATAGTACTATACCTATTTAAGATGTTTAACAGAAAAATTCAAAAAAATTGTTTACTAAGAAAATCCCTTTTCGTTTATTTTTCAGAAGCAACCAGCAATACACATATCGGCATGATGGCATGCCTACATACCTACAAGACTGTTTCTACGACGTCATAGAAGAGGAAGAAAGATTTATTTTACAAGAAGCAAATTAATTATCCTGAGACTTCTCTATTGTATTTTAATTAATAAAGAAATGAAAAGTTAAATTCATTGTTTTTATAAAACGACCCGAAAGCGATAGACAGTTCTGTTCAAACTGATATGTTCTAATTGGGTAACCAAACAAAAATTGTTAATTTTTGTTGATATATCAATAATTATTAATTATTACTTTATATTACATTATATTGTAACATTTAGAATGTTACAATATGTCGAAGCGCTTTGTCTGAGCACCGGTTTATCAGTAGACGGTTATCTAGCTTAGCTGTCGGTTAACTAATGATAATAATTATTAGTTAACTAACAGCTAAACCAAATAACCGTCCAATAATAAACCGGTCCCGGAATCAGCGTCAAAGTAAACCATATCACATATAGACACACTTTTCCTAAAACAAAATCCAGCTTTAAAAACGCGACCATTTATCGATTGGGATTTCTGGGAATCTAATTTTTCGTTTTGTTTTCCAGGTGAAAATCCGGCTGCGATGCAACACGGCGGAAGGGGATTATCCTGGCTCCAATGCAGTCCCTCGTCCTGGTTGCTGATCCTGTTTTCGTTAGTGGTTTTGATGTGCTAGTTTTGGTACTGAAAAGAGGAATTTTTTAAAATAAAAAAAAAAACAATGTCTTCATGGACTGACAGTGTAATTCAATATAAATTTTATGTAGCTGGATTAAGGACTTCGATAATTTAAATTGACGTTGCCTAATACAAAAAAATGAGTTCTCTTCGAACAAGTAGATATTATGATAATTATTGTCCCTTGTCCCCTTGCTATTAAAATGTTAATTGGGAGGGAATAATTATTATTATGGCGAAAATACATTGATATAACTTATTTTACTATTTTTTCTTATTCAAATCAAATTATTACTCAAGGACAAAAGAATATATATGGGGTGTCCCACAATAAGCGTCACAGGCCATAACAATTTTTATCCCATTTTGATGTTTAAAAATAACATTATTGTTAGCATGATAGTCCAGGAGGCAGTGATGATTTTCGATACTTATTTTCCCAGTCAGCAAACATATACCTAATTATAAGGTTAATAATTCTATGCAAAATTCATATACAGGGTGTCAATTTGAAAACAATGCGAATATCTGTGAAAGTAAAAAAGTTACAAAACCTTATTTGGTACAAATGTTATACAGGTAGAGGGAACTAGAACTACCATATTTTGGTTATAATGGCCCCTTGGGCCCCATGCACCCTAACCCCAATATTTTAAATGTGTGATTCCTAAATGAGCGTCACCGTACGTGTGATATACAACATTTTATTTACGACCCAGATTTTTGTTTTTTTTTAACGTAAATATTCAAAATGGTTATGATTTTCCCCAACAGATTATTCAGTGACCTTGGAACTAAAGTTTGATTTTAGGCTAAAACAAAATATTTCCTCAGCGAGTGAATATAAGCAACGCTGCATGCACTTCTTTTTCCCAACACGTTCAAAACGCATCAGTGGTGCTGTCATCAGCCTTAGGTATTCGTTTATCTTTTAATAATAATAATTTTTTACAAATAAATGAATTGTGAAAAAATGAGTTTTTAATAAGAATGAGTTACTTAATGAGCTTATCAAATCACTAGTGATATAATGTGCTCATTACAACACTAGTACGATAATAATACTTATTATGTAACTCGAATGGGTTACGTAATAAGCTCTTATAATATGGGTCATAGATAAAACATTTTCAACTCACTCTCGGTATGGTTAATCACTCTGCCCACATAAAAATCTGCTAGAATATACTTCTTAATCTAATTCCTTGTACTATATTGTTTAGAATATCCATCAAAATGGAATAAAATTTTGTGTACATCACGTGAGTTAAAAAATATTTATTCATTCGTAGAAATAAGCTCACCCTACGGGCTTGTGGGCTAAACTCTCTGCTCATGAATAAACATTAATTTGACTCACTTGGTGTATTATTTAAGAAGAAATTATTTAAAAAAAAATATATAAAAAACTAACTTGAGAGGTCCAACCCCTTTTGAAATAGCACACCCCATGATTATTTTTATTGATTCTGATTCGTTCCCTGTCAATTCTATCTGAAAGTTTCTTGGATTTGGTTTAGGGATAGGAAAAACAAACAATTAGTCTTTCGGCAACGTTTCGTCTTTAATTACGACTTTATCAAGCCCTACAAAGAACAATGAAAAAATAGAATCATGGGCAAACCAAAATAAATTTAAATGATTTAAAAAATAAAAAACAACAAAAAGGATTATTTTTAATTTAAATGTCTTCCTTTACTTAGACTTGAAGGTTTATCCTAGAGATGTCTTCACCAACATTCCAGCAAACTAGGTTCATGTGCAACCAAAACATTAACTTGTAAAACACGGCACATTTTTTTTTTTTTCTCATTAATTTTGTTATTTCTATAATTGTAGTTTTTTTTTATTTTGTTTTCACTTAGATTTGGCGGCAAACAGGAAAAGGTTGACAGCATATTTCATATGGTTGCCTACCATTTTGTTCAATCGTTGAATCGTTAGGTATACACTGAAAGATTTTAAAATTTGTGGATGATAATTCAAATTGATAAGGGTGGTCATTCATATATGGTATTGTTGAAGATTGAGCGATTACTAAAATTCTTTTTACATTTTTGTTTTAGAATGTAATTTTTCTGTCAACTAGTTTTGCCGTAAAATGATGATTAAACGTACAAGTCTAAAATTTGAAACAAAGAGCAGTTAAAATATTAAAATTAAAGGTAAATAAAATTTGAAATAAAGTCACAAATACAAACATTAAGATTTTTACAGATCACATGGAAGATTAGGGAATATTAGTATTTTAAAATCACACGAAGACTAGGAACTATTAGTGTTATTGTATAAGGAATATATTTAAAGATTTTTTTGATTTTTATACACACTTAAAATATTACTTTATATAGGAGACAGACCATCAGTGTCTGTCCTAAGATTTACCGTGTTTTGTAAATGTAGGTATATGGATCATTTCGCAATTTTTTTTTGTAACTTAGGTTCCCTTTCAAGTATTGACGCTTCATCAAACTTGAAGTTATGTCCCGTTTCGAAATGATTTTTGGAAAGCTTTGTGCTCTTGCAGCCTATTTTTAATGTAGGTACTGTTTTGTTTGACCAACATAACATTTTTGGCATTCACAAGGAATTTTTTAAATTAAATTTGACTGTTTTTCTTGAGGTGTAGAGTCTTTAAATTTTGAATATAATGAGCTGGTGGATTTGACATTATAAAAGGCTAAAATTCAGTCTGTATTTCTTAGGCATTGATTTATTTGTTAAGAAAGGCCATCTATAAATGGAAATTTGAAATATTTTGTTTTTGTTTTTGTTGTTTGTGGTTTATTATTGAATTTATTTATGGCCCTGTTGATAAAATGGCCGGATCCGAACTGATTCAATGGAGTTCTGGAATTCCGATATAGTCTTGGGAAGTTTTATCAAAGATGACGATCTTGCTCTATGGATATTTTTGCGTACCCTTTCCATGTCTTCGGTTGTGATGGTGTCCATTTCCGAATTTTTGATTTGCGTCCTTATTAATTTACTTGGTTTTTCACATATATCTCCCACTGCTGCACGTTTTACACTATTACTTAATTGTTTTCTGTTTAACACATTTTCAGGCAACTTTTCATGATTGTGATCCAATACACGTTCGATTACAGTGTCACCGGAACAGTTTGTCTTCAAAAATGCTTCACATATTCGCTTTGTACACTACCACCTTTTTAAAGTATTTTTGGCCAACATTTTTTGATAGGAAAATGTATAACCACCAATTTCAATTAAAGTTTGATCTTTTTCACTTGTCAAAAGTTTTGCATCCATCTTTGCAACAACTGTTCACTGTAAACGATAAGAACTAACTGAATTGAATAAATGGTCTCAATAGGGTGGTTAAACAATAACAGGTAAATATTAGTAATATAGGTACCTAATAATATATTCATAGAGGCGAGTTTAAACAACATTAACAATTTGAAAATATACACTTGGCAACAATGGGTTTCATTATGGCAAATATACACCTGAAGTTGAAATTTGTTCTGGGATGCAATTCGGATGTTAGACGGATGCAATTCGGACACTTTAAATATGACCTGAGCTAACCGGGATGCAATTGACTGGCGGCGGATAAAATTTAAGGGATAATTGTTGTTTTATAAAATTGTTTTCAACTTCCCTATATTTTCATTGTGAAAGATCGGACTACTAAGTTTTGCTGCTCTGTGCAACAATCCTGCTATAATGCCCATTTTATTTGAGAGGGGGTGGTTAGAATGGAAATTTGGAACTCTTCCTGAGCTAGTTGGTTTGGTATACCAATTTGTAGCAATTGATCCATCTGGAAGATGGTGGAGTTCAGTATCCAAAAAGCATATTCTTCCATCTCTTTCGACTTCCATGGTAAACTTAAGCGATACATGGACACCATTAAAGTTATCAAGAAATAAGTTAAGCTTATCCTTAGGTGCAGCAAGGACCGTATCATCAACAAATACATAGACAAAAGGTAAAGTGAAAGGAAGATTTTCCAGAACTGTGTTGAATATATAGTTCATAATTATATTAGCTAATATTGGAGGACTAGAGTTTTCCATAGCACTACCATCCTTTTGTAAATAAATTCTACTTTGAAAATAAAAATAGCTCGACTCAATACAAAACTTAACAATCTCCAACAACATCTCTCTTGGGATATCTGTGTAGTTCGATATGAACTTGTAGTCTTTCTTTATTATTTGTACTACCAATTGTTTTGGAATGTTTGTGAACAGACTAACTACATCTATGGTCGAACCAAATCCAAGCGGCAGTGAATGACAAACTGGTCATTTTCATTACAACCTATCAAATGTCATCCGTGCATGTGCACTGGCACAGCCCCCTACATTTAACAAGCCATGAAGTTAAAAAGGCAACACCGCAATCTTACCGCCAAGTGGTGCTGGTGGTGTGTGTTTGTATAAATATATATTTTTTATTTTATTAATATGAATCACAAAAAATACATAATTTATTGTACTAAAGGGCCAAAAACAGTAATTCAATGAATAATTTAACTATTTGTGTAAATAAGAACAGTAAATAATTGATTTAAATGAATATATTTCTAGAGTCTAAAGTGTTATAGGCCTATGTTTCAGTATGTCTTTTGAAAATCTAACTTTTTCTTTCTTCGGGATTTTTTCGGAAGGCAAGTCCATTCAAATACTTGAGCTGATTTTCGAAAATAAGAGGTACCTACTTTTAAGAGTTGGACGTTTTAGTTTGAACTCTCGAACTACGCCTTTATCCTTGTTTGTTTCAAATCTAATTACTTCGGTTTCATCAAAATGTTTACAACACACCACAGAATTTTTCGTTATTGTATAATCTCGGGTATAATTATCTTGGTGTATTGCTTTCATCCACATTTTTTGCACTTCAGAATTTTTTTGGAAATAAAAATGTTTGCATTTCTTCAGTTTTTAAGGAACTCCTAATAGTTCGATTTGCACCCAGGAACACAGTAGTTTCATGGCATCTGGAACAAGTTTAAATATCTTAGGTAATATATCGAGAACTATGCTCTTGCAGACAAATATTAATATTATTTTTATTGTTTTACCTTACCTTACCTTCATTTTTGCTCCTGTACCCATTTGCTAAAAATTTGCAATCAAAGCACAAAGGAACAGGTACCAACTAAATATGGGCAATATATTGGTGTGTTTCTATCCACTTTTTCGTCAATAATGCCCATAAAAATACTAAATTGCAACAATACACAATGATAGCAATACACAGAAACACATAACCCAATAACAAAATAGCACCATACGCGACGTTGCCGTCATTTCCAATTTCATGGCTTGTTAACTATAGGAGGCTGTGGCACTGGTCCAGGGGTCGTATTTTCGAATATTCTCGCATACGAAATTTGATACGATTTCGAATGCTCCCCATTTAATTTACATTGCTGTCAGTCAAATTCCGTGTGCGAAATGTACTCGAATGAATTCGAAAATACGACCCCAGGGGTTCGATTTTCGAAACCATTCGAGTACATTTCGTACACGAAATTTGACTGCTCCCCATTTAATTTACATTGCCGTCAGTCAAATTTCGTGTACGAAATGTACTCGAGGTCTGTAAAATGAAAAGAATCCTTTACATTATAATGAAAAGTAGAAGTAAAAGGACTCAAAAGGTCATGTATATATTTTGCAATTTTGCAGCTTGGTGAGTCTATGCAACTTACCACTGGTCTGAGATGGAGACCGGGCTTGTGGGGTTTTCTCAAGCAGTATAATTTAGGAGAAATGCTATTAGTTATTTTTAGTGTGTACTCTTCGTGTTTAGATATTAGTTTTTTTTTTTTTTCAAAGATGTTACTAACCTATTAGCTCATGTTTGGTAGCGGGTCATTGAGTCTTTACTAGTCAACTCGTAGATATTAGGGTCTTGTAACATTTCTGTTGTTTTGTTAATATACTTTTCCTTTATAACTGTCGAGTTTCCCTTATCAGACCTGCAAACTATTAAGTCCTCATTTTCTTTTAAAAACTTTTTTGTGATAGCAACTTTTCTTTCAAGACTACGTTTGCGAGCCGAACGTAGTGAGGCTTGCAAAACTGCTGAAGCACAAAAAAGTGCTTCTACTCCGTATGCAACACGCTATTTTTCCTCCAAACGAATGGGGTAAGGTCGGGAACAAGTTGATGGTTAAGCGGCAGTAAAAGTACGAGCGGCACTAAAAGTACTTTTGCTGCCGCTCCAGCGGCACTAAAAGTACTTCTACTGCCGCTGCGAATGCCTAGCAGCATAGAAATTAAATGTCTACCACCTCGACAGGTGTTAACCCGCTGGATTTCCCTAGCAGCATAGAAATCAAATTTCTGACATCTTGACAGGAGTTAACAAAGTAACGTTCTTTTGACGTTTGGAGAAAAAAGTTTGTTATATTTATTGTCTGGCCTCTTAATATGTGTTTTTCTTCGTCATTTATTTTTCGTCCTGAGATACAAAATTCCAGGTCTTTAATCATTGTTGGTATTGGGATTTCATGATTTTTTAGAGGTAGACTAAATTTTGGTCCAAAACTAAGTACTGTTTCCACATCTTCTGGGATCTGTGTGTCAGTATAGTTAAATAAGTAA